TGGGAATGGCAGCATGCTATTTATGAGTAGAGTCTTGTGAATTTTGTGTTTTCATGCTGCAAAAGGTCACCCTTTGATATGAAACTGTGTTTCAGAAATAAACTTGTTTGAGAAGATAATGTGGGGGGGAAAAAAAGATTTGACTCAACCAATGCAGAGCTATCAACAGAGGGATTGTAACTACTGTTCTGAGTAGTGAACTTCCTATTCACAGCTATGGGGAACTAAGTCTGACCCTGATACATGATTTTAAATATGAAAACCAATCAATAAAGCAGTTAATCAAAAACATTCAGGTAATATGTAAAATATATAAATATTGAGTGTGTGTTTATTATTGCCTCTGCAACTTTTGGCTTTGAGAGTCTCTCCCCCCCCCAAACAAAAAGTCCTAACATGAGATTACTTAATTTCTATTCTCCTCTTCCTCTATTTTTTCGTTCTAAATTGTAAAGTTTTCTATGATGGACATAAGAACAACCATACTGGGTCAGACCAAAGGTCCATCTAGCCCACTATCCTGTCTGCTGACCGTGGCCAGTGCCAGGTGCCCCAGAGGGGGTGGACCAAAGACAATGATCAAGCAATTTGTCTCCTGCCATCCATCTCCAGCCTTTGACAAACAGAGGCCCGGAGCACCGTTCCTTATCCCCTGGCTAGTAGCCTTTTATGGACTTAACCTCCATGAAATTATCTAGCTTCTCTTTAAACTCTGTTATAGTCCTAGCCTTCACAGCCTCCTCTGGCAAGGAGTTCCACAGGTTGACTACACGCTGTGTGAAGAAGAACTTTCTTTTATTAGTTTTAAACCTGCTACGCATTAATTTAATTTGGTGTCCTCTAGTTCTTCTATTATGGGAACAAGTAAATAACTTTTCTTTATTCACCCTCTCCACACCACTCATGATTTTATAGACCTCTATCATACCCCCCTCAGCCTCTTTTCTAAACTGAAAAGTCCCAGTTTTTTCAGCATCTCCTCATATGGGATCCGTTCCAAACCCCTAATCATTTTAGTTGCCCTTTTCTGAAACTTTTCTAATGCCAAAATATCTTTTTTTAGGTGGGGAGACCTCACCTCTGTTTGTTTACCACTTAGGAAAAAGGACCTTGGTTGAGGCCTGTGAATGGTATGTCTGCACTATATTGTGGACTGATGCTTGTGGATTCAATGTCTCAAAGCCCATGCTTGAAATGGCCACGTTCCATTGTAAACCTGGGTTTACAGTTTTTGGACATAGTTCAGAATCGATGTATGAGCGTGGTTGAGACCTATGTGGACCTTCTGACTCACATCTGAGGCTTGAGCTACACTAACTTGTAAAATGACAGGGCTTGGACCTGAGTCTCAACAGTATTCAGGCTCCAACTCACTCCCACAGGTACATCCTAGGACATGC